AGAGAGAGAAAGAGAGAGGGAGAGAGAGAAAGAAAAAGAGAAACAGAGAGAGAAAGAGAAAGAAAGAGAAGACGGGAGGGGGTGGGGGCACGGCAGAGAAAGTGAAAGAAAACCTGTTGACAGCAAAGGAACTAGGACAGTCGCAATAACCTTCGTTCATCTCTTAGATTTGCCTAAAATATATTTTGTTGTCTATTTTGTTTTCCTTTCAATACTGGGGTGCACTGACCTTGCCGACATAAAATTATTGCTATTATTATTAATACTCTAATCATTTTAAAGATTACCAGGGTGAAAAGAAAGGGGAGGGGGGATGAGAGGTTGGAGCAATGCTGCGGTATTCACTTCCTCCAGGTTACCCTGCCATAACTATTCAAGTGGCAAGAAAACAGCGACATTGAAGCTATACATAATATACGTCATGCCATGCTCGAGCTGCTGAAAGTGTTAAGCATAATTGACGTAAGACTTTCTTGAAAAGTTGAACAGAAACGATGATGAATTGGTTAGCTGTGGCGTTTTGGGACTCGAAGCTTTCTAGTGCGACACCTTTTAGCTCTCAACGAATTTTTCGAGGTCGGTTCATGTCATTGCTTTCGAATCCGCCTACTCGTGCCTCATTCAGTGCGACCAAAGAGGTTATAAATGCAGACCCAGTTAGCCATATTATTATTATGACACCTGTATCTGTGGTATAGCGAAATTAGGCGCTTTGCTGAAGCACGCAGGAGAACCGAGTTAGATTCCCGAGTGGGTGGGTTAGTGGCAAAGAGGGGGGGGGGGTGGATTTTAATCGAGTGTCTCATTCTTTTTGCAGTGATTTTTTCACTTCGGAGTGAGGCCTGGCCCCTGACAAACAGGTGGAGGCTCGCCTCCTAAATAATCTAAATGTTGTCAATGGGACCAATAAAGCAATAAATCTTCTAACCGGTAATTGGAAGAAATATTCCAACTCATTTGTCTTCTAAATAATATAAAATCTAAGAAATAAAAAGATAAATGGAGCGAACAAAAACATCTGCCTCCCCCACCTTTCCTCGCATCAACGCGTTTCATACATAGCATAATAATGAACTGCGCAATAGATCTGAGACATTTTGTTTTGTTTCGTTGTTTCTTTGAAAAAAAAACAACTAGCACTCACAAACAGGATGATAGTCATTTATTTTTTAGCTTTAGGAAAAGTCAGACGAAAACGAAAGAGGGAAAGACACGAATTCGGAGCAACCAATTTTGTGCCCTCCAACCATTCACATTTGAGACTAAAATAATATGTGAGGCATCGTGGTGAAAACAGGCTCTCGGAAGAAACCGGCATTTTTCCCGGTTGCATAAATTTTATCGATATGTTTTGTTCTGGCTTAACAATCCTTAAGTCCATTTGAAATCAAATTTGGTTTTCTGTGTGGATTTTTACTGAAATCTTTGATTAAAGGTCTGAAAAAATTAAATTGTAACTTTCTGGTCTTCCAAAGACACTCACGCATTGGAAGTCACCAAAATGTGGGGACCATATTTTCGTGTATTTTACCATCTGCGGCATTATGCGACCCTACCACTTTCAGTTGCAGATCTATTTCGATGAGTATTTTTTCCACGAAAGCAAGACAAATAAAAAAAGATTTAATATGACACCACGGTAATTCTGAGCTCTCTGATGATACCAACAACTCTATTTGTCCCCAAGAATGTCGAGTGCCTGATTCCACCTTGTCGTGACACAATAGCGAACATCCTGTCTGTCTTGTGTGTGTGTGTGTGTGTGTGTGTGTGTGTGTGTGTGTGTGTGTGTGTGCGACGGCGAGAGCCTGGTCGCTGTTATATGTGAGGCAGCGTGGTGGAATCAGGCTCTCGTCAACTTTTGATCATGTAGAGTTATCGGTATCATCTTAAAGCTTGTACATTTGTCTTTATTTGGATGAAACAAATATCCATTTATCTTGAATACAAGTCGAGATATTTGCGAAAAAATTAGATGGGGGGTCACTTGTTTTCAGAGGTAAAATTCGGGAGAAAATGGCCGTCAAAGATTAGTTAATTCCTTAGCTTTTTGCGCCTTTAATCAACGTTTTTCGGAAAAATCCACACAGAAATGAGTTCTTTAATAGGCATGAAATGTGTTGATCTAAAAAAGAAATTCATAAAAATCCACAAACCTGCAAATAAAAAAACAAAAAAACAAGTTTCTTCACTTTGATTATTTTGACGAGAGCCTGATTTCACCTCGCTGTCTCACATATTATTATCACTGACTCCAGTCAGACCGGTTTGAGGATGGGGACAATATAGAAGTTAATGCAACACATCTGAGCAACCCCCCCCCCCCCCCCTGACTATTACACCACAGGCGTCGATTTAAACTATTGGAAAGGCACACATATAACCTTATGCAGATACGAGCGCCGTAAAACCTCTACTAAAAAGACTATTGGACACTCTCTTTAAACATAGAACATAATCTTAGTACAACCACTCTCTGGTACAACTTAGCCTAGCCATTTTACCACAGTAGGTCTTTATTTCCTCATTTGAATTTAAAAAAATAATTTTTAAATAGATAAATGAATAAAAAAAGGAAGAGGAAAGAGAGAACGAAAGAAAGAAAGAAAGTAAGAACTCAAGAAATTGTAGGTCCTTTATCGACACAATTTAGATCATTTAGGAGGCCGGCTTTGACCCTGCCTGGGCTAATGCGGGATGAGGTAGATAAAGTAAAGTTGTTCCCGCACCCGATCTGGACATTGGGGATTGCCTTGTTAGTGAGACAGCTTCCTGGGCCTTCTGCATATTGTGGTACGGTGCCCATTTCCTTTCCAAGTCGCCTTTAGTTCCCCGACTCGAAGTGAGGTACCCTTTACTGCTGGGTGGGCAGGAGGGGGCGAAAAATAACCTTGTCCGTTCGGCTTCGGAGACGAGCGCACTAACCCTCTCAATATATTGTCTTGTAGCACAAATACATTGGCATTGGCGTTTGTGGAAATGGGTTCACTTCCCGTATGGGGAGAGTTTTTATCGAATATCTCGGTCTTTCTGTAGAGGAAATTTAAAACAAATTAAAAAAGAAACACCTTCCCCTCCCCACCCTCCAAAATAAAACCCCAACAAAAAGAAAACAAAAACAAAATCCCCAAAAACAAATCCCCCCAAAACCAAAAAATGCCAAGTCGTCTAGTTTTCACATTCAAAAATCCCGCCCCACCCCCCACAAACCCCTCTAGGACACATTAATACATTGCCTCTCCTTTCCTTCTGTGGTTCATGCACCCCATGTAGGGAGCCCCTGACGTTAAACATTGTTTTCCTAACTTAACGACACTGACAATAACAATCTCTATTCATCTCTCAGGGAAGGTGTTTGCAGGAGTAATAATATTACACAAAGCAGTCAAAATAATGTTAGTCATTGACAATCATTTGAATCATAAGTTGTGTGGCGTCGGTGGCCTAGTGGTTAAGCAGGCGGACTCGTAATCGTGAGATTGCGGGTCGGGGGTTCGAGCGTCAGCTCGACCCGAAGTTGTGTCCTTGGGAAAGGCACTTTGCACGGATTTCCCACTTGGCTCGGTCCTTTCGGAGACGGATGTTAAATTCGGAGGCTCCCGCTCTTAAATAACCTAATAGTATTGATAGAGGTGTTAAACCTATACCATTTCACCATTTTCAATCATAAGTTGCTTTTGTCTTCTTTATGAGTAATTCCTGGGTATTACACTGAGGAATAGAAAAGGACTTATGTGAAAATGTTAGACATTGATGATAATGTGTGTGTGTGTTTTCCAGATGCGCGGTGCCTGGTATAAATGACACGTACAAGAGACAGAATGAGGCACATACGATTGCTGTGGACGCCGCAGTTCCAAGAGATGAAGATGGGGCGTATTCGACTTGTGAATTGTACAGGTGGGCTAGTGTGTGTTTTGTGTGTGTGTGTCTGTGTGTGTGTGTGTGTGTGTGTGTGTATCTGTGTGTGTGTTTGTGTGGGTTTGTGTGTGTGTGTGTGT